ATAATTTTTTGAAAACATGGGTGATGTCAAAGAAAGTGTACATCAAAGAATGTATACTTAGCATTATTGTTATTATGATATCGTGAGCATCATTGTTGAAATTGATTCTAATTCCCTTTTTTTCTAATAAGTACAAATTGATTGAGTCACTTTTTTTTTCTTTTATTGCTTTGTAGGCATGTTCTTGTTATTAGCTTTGGTGGAATTGGTTGAGAATCTCCTTTTACTCGTAGATGATGAATTTTAAAATCATATCTGGAATTGTGCAAATGGCCCTAATCTTCAAATTTTGGCGCAAACTTCATAAACTTCAAGGTCACAATTGGTCCTTCCTAACAATATATAATGATAAGGTTTTTTTATTAATAAAATATTATACATAAGAATGTGCTAAAAAAATTAAGGATATAAGCGTGATAATAAAAAAGGTTAATGATCTTCAATATAATTAAAATGTAGCGTATTTATGAAAAATGTGATGTGAATATAACCAACATTGATATTATTTAAAAAGTCAAACTTGATGTAAAGACTAAAATACCCTTACATAATAAAATATATAATAAAATAAAAATATAAGATAAAAAGAAAAATAAACTCATCCTATCAACCAATCCTCACAAGGACATCTCCAATATAATGGTGGATTGCATAAAAAATTGTCATGTAAGCAAAATTTGTTTATAAAATTCATGTCTAATTTGATAGGGAATCCATTAACAACAACGTCGAATCTGAATTCATTCTTCAAGTGGACTTGTAAGATATTCATAAGTTTCTCAGAAGAATGTGCCAAATCGATATTAAATACAAGATTTCAAAATACACTTTCCATGAAATGTCTTTAATGCTTATACAAGATTGATGTAAATACTGAGGGTGGTGATAAGTATCGAAAATTAAATAGTGTATCTCGGTAAAATGGGATTATACAAGTATTCACACCTAGACTTGTTCCTGGCATATATACGTTGAAGGCATAGGGAAACCGTACAATTGTTGGTATCCGACAAGAGCTTGTGGCCGTGAGATTCACTGTTCTAGAAGTTTTCCTTATGAAAATGGAAGCGGGTGGATGAAGTCAAGCTAAGTTCCTGGCAAAGCTGGTTAAGTGGCTTGGTAAGTGTTGGACTTCCACAGTAGAAAACACCTGAAATGCATCAATGCATCATTTAGATCAAAATCTATTGATTAGGTAATTAGTCTTGTAGAGGGCTGTGAGAGCTGAGACAAATTTATTTAATTAATGTTGTCAACACTCAAGTGTTAGATAAACGAGGTGTAGAGTCTCCCAGTTGCGTAACACTCGCACGTATGCAGCACTCATGCATATCCAGAGTGTATGCAGGGGAGGACCCATTAAAGGCCAATGGATGCAGCCGCCCCCATTGGATTTCCAAAATTGAATAAATATATTTTTTATTTCTTTCACAATTTATTTTAGCCCATAATTATCATCCCAAACCCAACAAAGACATCAATTTTTTTGGAGACCCAGCCCACATAATTGACACTTAAATCATTCCTACTTCCTTCCCCCAATTGTTCCTAAACTCAATTCTCAAACCCTCCTTGCCTATGATTCCAACTCATATAGTACAAAGTATCAAAATCAACTCACGATATTTTGAAAGAAGAAAAAAAGATGAACAAATTGAAGAAGTAAAATTTTGTAATCCCTCTCCCTTACTAAGAGACTATTATATGAGAAGCCGTAAGGAACAATTGTAAAAAAAGTACTATGTTTTGAATATTATCTTTGTTGTCTAATTTGAAATTATATTTTACGTAATTCTATCTCGCCCCCGCTGAACCATTAATCCTGGGTCCGCCGCTGAGTGTAACGCGCTTCACTTACCTCGGGTGGAATCTCCTCTGACACTGGTATATTAAGAACTAACCGGATGACAATACACAGTTGAGATAAATAGATATCTTACCAATCCGCGAAGATGGATGTGTCGTGGCCAAATGCGTGAAGACTTTTTTCCAGTTAGGTCTTGCGAAATGTGTTCTGATCTGTTGTAATTGTGAGTTAGAACTAAAAGCTTGTATATCATAAAAATTGAAAATTTTCAAAAATGTACCCGGCTTTCTGAAACAACATCAACTCCATTTTTAGCTTGTTGAAGAGATTGAACCATTGCTATTAGTGCTGATCGAGCATCTCCTTCCTCGTACACACTTGTTAAATAGTTGTGCATTTCGATTGTGTGCTGCAACATTCAAATGTACCATGAGAAAACGATTCAGATTAAAATTTTATCACTGGAGAAACAGTGAAACTGCATACATTGTGATCATATTCTGCAATGTCATCCATGACACCTTTGAACCAATCGAAGGATCCTTGTTCCCGTGTCACCCAATAAAAGTATGCTCTTTCTGGACCTTTCTTATCTAAAGGTTGACTATCTTCCTTTCCCTGTGATCGTCTAATTCTGTTAATACATTAATTCACCATGTACATTAATGAAAATTAACATGCTTTAGCACTCACAGATTCAGCCTCATTATTTAAGATATCTTTTATAATGCTGATAAATGGGGTTGCTCCAATCCCCAAACCAATTAGCAGAAGAATGTCATATTTCTTGTAATTCTGCGCTGGTGCACCATAAGGTCCTTTAATCAGGATTTGGGGGAATCTGGCTCAAAGATGAAAATCACTAGATATGATACCGAATTTGCAAACTGTTAAAAACGAACCATTGCCAGGACAAAATTGCTTACTCTTGTGAATGTTGTGTTTCTGAATATGCTTTTGTTTCCATTCTTACTAGGTTTCCCCTTCTTGGTTGTGTACACTGAGGTTCACACGCCTGGATTCATGTGTTTCACCATAATATCCATGTTTAACGTATCAGGAAATTGTTTGAGTGAGTGCAAGAAGATAATATCACTCACCTTGGCGAATTTCGTTCTAAGTTCGGTAGTCCAGTCTCCCAGCGTGCGTATGTGGACGCTTAAGTAGTCTTCACCTGGTGCAGAAGTGATAGAGAAGGGATGCCTGTATACAGTGTAACGGATACGAATCAGAAAAGAAGCATAGTAGACACATAATTATATGGTGGTTCATTATACTTCCACTATAATGAAGGGCACAATGTGCTCTCATGCTTCTCAGACATACAAAAAGGCCTTTTAAAATCCTTGGTATTAGGAATATTAGGACGGACTAATGCATGTATGGAGTACCAATAATATATGCCAGAAAAAATCAACTTGGGGAGCTCCCACAGTCGAGGGGATGAGTGGTATTGGAAGCTCACTCAGTCCTATGTAGAGTTTGTGAGCAATGATATTGCCAGATTAACAATACAACCTGCGATGATTTCTGATTACCATTCAAAATTTGATATATTAGGACATTTGACAAAGAGGTACATTCCACTCTTATATTTGAATCCTGGAGGTCTGCTCATGTATAGTGCCAATACATTTCCTGAATATATGACAGCCTGCAAATCCCAGATTAAGAACAGTTAAATTCATGGTATGCATTTGGAAGAACCAATGTCAAAGTTACACACAACACCTTAACAATGTCGACCCTGTAATTTCGATCATAAAGGGTGAGGATTCTCTCACTGGTGTAGGCAAGCATTGGTACAACAATATACATCCATGTCTGCAGAGCAAATTCATTGTTCAACGTCAGCTGTTAGTTATGCGAGAGGCTGCATATAGAACTGTTTGGAAAAAGACGTATTTTTCCTTGAACAAAAGACACATAGATTTGGTTACATGGTCCAACATTATGCCTACATACCGTCTTTTTGTACCATTCTCTGGTGAGGAATATGAAGTAACCATGGAAGATGAGGAGGATATAAACAAGAGCCAGCAGATGGTGTGTATACCAGAAGGCATTGAATCCTGCTAAATGGTGAAAAGGCCATGGCAATTTGATGACATTCCTCCTGAATGAATGTGTTGCCAATGTGAAGGAGAAAATCATCAGAATTATCATCACTACGCCAGTAATTCCCGGGATGGTTCCAACGACTTCTAAATAAGTCGGCTGGTGATAGTTGAAGGCACGTCCAAAAATAGCCATAAACTGATTGTTTGGACATGATGTCAATCTTACAATATTGCAACTCAAGTGCATACTAGTATGAAGAAAGGTTCCTACAGCAATTGCTAATGCAATCAACTTGTGGAAGTTAATGTTATCGTCGAAGGGGACTAAGGTACCAAGGAATGTTTCTCTGAGCTTTGTAAGAGTTCGTCTGCACACTGGAAGGAGAATAAGAGCCATATTGAACTTAAGAGTCTCGGCAGCACCCTTGGCAATGCAGACACAGTAACCCATGACTTGGAAGGCGCCCCTCAACTGATATTGTTTAAACTTCCATGTAAAGAGTGCAATATTTATACATAACCACAAGGTGAGTACCCATATTCTCTTCCAATTCTCGTATACTTTCTCAGAATTTTTTGATACGAACTTTCGTACTGGTGTTCTGTATTGTTTTGGGATCATAGTTCTTGCTAGAGTTTGTGGCTTCTTCGTGTACTTTTTCCCTTCATCTGAGGTAACCATTCCCCTTAGCAGAACTTCAAGTTGCCACATCTGTCCAAAGTATATTATAAGAACTAGAGAAGAGGAGACTCAGCTAAGAAAATAGCAAAAGATAAAAAGGATCTTCACCTCTATATATCCATGATGATCAGGATCAAGCTCTTCCATGATTAAAGCAGCATATGTTGCAGCATGTTGCTTGAATTTCGACAGTTTGTTTGCCGAAGCGCTCATTACTAGAACCTTAACCATAATAAAGTCAGGAAGTTTTTATTCCATGCAAGTGGAAGAAGAAGAAGAGCTTTAAGAACTCAAAAGGCCTCACCTCTTTAACCTCATCCTCGGATAGCATTCCATCGCCATTCTTGTCACACCTACAAATTCATCAGTCGTAATTATCTCAAGGGAAGTATTAAGTTATCCCTTCTCTTTAAAGGCTCAGAATTCTTACATGTCAAAGAAAATATGAAGCCTAGTATCAAGGTCATGGTTTGTCATGTCTTCCCAAAATTTTCTTAGTTCTTCTTTGCTAATCCCATTTTCTGTGCTGATGTTCCTACGCCTTGCCAATGCTTCAAACAACTCGGAGGCAAATTCTGTGCTATCACCCATTCCTTGCAAAGCAGAAAATGAATTTGTCACCTCCAACTAAAATCACAGGCAACAAAAATGGCAAATTTACGGAAAATTATGTTTGAAGAAAATACCAATGCACGCTCCGAATTTGTCCTTAAACAGCATATTATCAAGAGCGTATTGATTGAATCGTTTCTCAAGCACCGTCCACTCGTCTCCTTCCTTCCCCGTTGTTGTCCTGTCAAGAAATCGTAGGCCCCTAAGCCCTTGAGCTGCGCCAGAATTCATTCTTCCCATCCTAGGAGCATTATCCTGAATTTGGTTCCTCTTTCTTGTTATGCTTGCTTTTTTCTCCAAAGATTTTTGATTTGTAAATTTCTGTATAGGACCCATATTTTCATCTTCAATTAATGGGACATCAGCCATTTTATCAATCTCAATGCTCTCCAGAATCCATCTTACAGATTCTGCACTATGTAGATCTTTATTGTCCACTGGTTCCATGAAACTGACTTATTTCTCGGTTGAGATACTAGTACGAAAATGAGGAAGAGGATATGAAAGAGGAGAAAAACACTCAGATATTTGAGGGGGAAATGAAAGAAGCATAGTTAGTTATATCAGTTGTCAAAAGAGAAAATTCTAGTGGAGATCCCCATCTTATTAAATTCTTGCAAACGTGTCAGCAACAATTTTCTCTTGGTAGATTGGTTTGGCGGTCAAATTTGTATTAATTTGGTTCTTTGAAAGTAAAATTTTGATTAGATTATATTCACGTTGCCCTTTTCCACACCCACTCCCCCAAAATTATCATCCCATGCCCGAGCTAGAGGAACCAAGTCTGGATTGTGGGTGGAAACGGTGGGTGTGGCGATAGATGGGATTAAGAGGTGTGTATAAACGGTGATTGCGTACGATTTACCCGAGTGGCGAATCAGGGGGAAAGTCACCACTCTTCAAAATTAGTCGGGTGAAATTCGGACACCTGAGTCATCAAAAAATAGAAAGAAAGGCAGCGAGAAACCAGGTGCCCTTTTTAAGTTGACCTATTTCACTTTTCAAAAAGTTTCCAACATATCTATATCACACACCCCTTTTGCGAGTGAGCATAGGTGAAAACCATTAAATAGAGAGCAATCCAACAAACATAAAAGGTAAGTGACATGTCTGCCAAGAGGAAATGGTTAGGGACGAACTTCCTACAGCACTCGTAATTGGGAACCCCCACTACAATTTTCCCATTTCACAAACATAGAGTTTTTCAAAGTCCAGACACATAAATTGCAATCATATGCAACCAACGCTAAGATGTAATAAATGCCTTTTTTTTATATCTTTTCATATTATGACAGCCCTTATTTCCTGCGATTTATCTACTTCGGAATAATAATTTTATTGTTTTTCAGATTAAAAAACTGTTAGATTCATTGTATGCCTTGTTGTTTATGGAAACATGTAATGCTAAGTTCTTAGTAGTTTGCACGTTGCATTTAAGTTTCTCCCAATGTTTGTAGTCAACAAACAACGTGCAAAATACCTTTGAATATGATAAAAAATATCTACTCGGATCAATTTTAGCAGTCTTCTTGTGTTAATCACACTTGATAAATTGATATTTTTAAGAATTCGTAATCTATCATAATTTTCAATGAGAAATGTAGCATTATGCTATGTTAAGTTGTAACTTGAGAATTTTTTTAAAATTTTTTTTTTCTCATTTGTTGATGAAGGAGAGTGGACTGGTATAACTAAACCAAAGTTCGCGTGAAAATTGGATGTCTTGAATGAAAAATAAAAACAACGATATATTTATATTATGTTATTAGTTTTAAGTGATTTGTAGTTATGTTTTTTTCCCAACTCTTTGCAATGAAATCTCTTTTAAGTTCACGTACACTTCATATTTATTTTTTGGGTAATTAACACATAACGTCCCCACCTTTTATTGTTATTGTGAAAAACGTCCATACTTTTCGTTTTTTGACATTTTCACATTTATTTTCACCTTTCATTGCGCAAAATGTCATTTTCACCTATTTTTTCAATTAAAAATTATGAAATGACGAATATATCATTCGCTTTAAATAAAACAAAAAGAAAAAGAAAAAAAACTAATTGCAATCACAATCCCAATTTTTTTTAAAAACTCAAATAAGTCACAAATAAATTTTTAAAAGGGTAATTAGCACATAATGTCCATACTTTTTATTTTATTTCTTTGGTATTTTCACCCTTAATTACACATTTAATTGCACAAACCATCATTTCTATCCATTTTTATTCAATTTCTCAATAATAGTTGTGAAATAACGAATATACCTTCCTATTTAAATGTAAAAAAATATTTTTAATTTCTAATTCTTTAATAATTTATTTGTGACACGTTTGCACTTTTTAAATTTTAAATNTAAATGTAAAAAAATATTTTTAATTTCTAATTTCTTAATAATTTATTTGTTACTCGTTTGCACTTTTTAAATTTTAAATTTTTTATTAATTTTTTAATAAATTTAATCGGGACTTGTTTGCGCTTTTAAAAAAAATTGGGACTATGTTGTAATTAATTCTTTAGCTTTTTATTTAAATAGGATGGTATATTCATCATTTTACAGCTTTTTATTGAGAAATTGGATGAAAATGGATGGAAATGATGGTTTACGCAATCAAATGTGTAATTAAGGGTGAAAATACCAAAATAAAATAAAATAAAAGGTATGGACGTTTTTTGCAATAATAGTGAAAGGTAGGGACATTATGTGCTAATTACCCTTTTACTAAGTTATTTGTGACTTATTTGCGCTTTAAAAAAAAATTGGGATTGTGATTGCAATTAGTTTTTTTTATATTTAAAGAGAATGGTATATTCGTCATTTCATAATTTTTAATTGAGAAAATATGTGAAAATGACCCTGTGCACAATGAAAGGTGGAAAAAAGGGTGAAAATGGCAAAAAATGAAAGCTATGGACGTTTTTCACAATAACAATGAAAAGGTGGGGACATTATGTGCTAATTACCCTTATTCTTTCAACAAAAACTTGGTAAGTTCCAGATTTGATTGGACGTGTTAAGCTGGGAAGCCTTTAGTAGGTTAAAGGTATCGATAGATGTAATTGCAAGGAATAAAAGTGAAATTAACAGGATCAACAAGTCGATCACGTAGTACAGGTTGAATATCTTACCAGGAATAAGGGCAATTAAACAATGGAAATTTGCTCCTGATCGATAGCAGGCCACTAAAGCGAAATTAGAGAAGCTCTTGAAAGTGGGCTTCATCAGAGAGGTGAAGTATCTAGAATGGCCAATGTAGTGTTGGTAAAGAAGTCAAATGAGAAGTCAATGATGTGTTTTGACTTCACCATTTGAATAAAGCATGTCCAAAGGACTTTTATCACCTCAAATCGACGCTTTAGTCAATATGACCACATGAGACGCTTTCCTTGAGTATCATTAGATATCCATAGTAGTCGATAATGAAAAATATGAGAGCTACCGATTAGCACATGGTGAATCGAGTCTTCAGAGACTTGATAGGCAAGAAGATTGAGTTTATGTAGTTGATATGGTAGTCTACAACAATCGAGATGACCAACATGTAGACGATTCAATAGGAAAAAAAAAATCAAGTTTCACTTGAGAGTAAATTGAAGTTTAACCTAGAAATTGTGTATTCAGAATGACTAGGGGTAAATCTGGAGCTTTCTGATGACTTAGAGGGGAACTGAGACAAACCCAGCAAGATCAAAGTGATCATGAATATGAATAGCCCCGATGGCTAAGCATGAGGTGAAAAAGTTGAAAAGTAGAGTGGCACCTCTGAAACGCTTAATGATATCCCTTATTCAAAGCCATAAATGAGAGGCAACTTTGAGTGGATTGATGAGTGCAAAAGATCACTAGTGGATTTAAAATTAGCCCTGGAAAATCACAATATCTTATCTCAATTGAAACTCGGTGATGTTTTAAAACTATATGAATTGTCTGAGCCTAAAGTTCAAAACTCTAAAACGAGCATTGCTCCTAGGTTTATCTCCACTTTTCTCAAATGTTGACGGATAGGTCGCACTAGACCTAAGTGTCGTAAATTCTTTCTTAGGAATAAAGAAAAGAATTTCATTAGTCATGTTAAAATATTAACTAAACAAGTTAATCTTTAGACTGATACGAAAACATACTTGATAAAGATAACCTCCTCTTCTAGGAGACTCACTACAACAAAAATGATATTTTGCAACATTAAAAAGGCAGCATTCATTAATTGAGTGTTGTTAAAGGGGCCTATCGCAACATTTTAATAATTGCATGTTGCCATTGGTAAATATAATTGAACTTTGACAACATTTTTTAAATGAATGTTACTAATGTCGCCTTTTGCAACGTTTTTTGAACGTTGTTAAAATCTAGTTCTATAGCAACGTTCAGTGTCAGTTGCTGAAACTCTTAATAAATAGCATTTTGCAACGTTCATTGACTGCTGTGAAAAATTTCATTTTTTTGCAATATTTTTTGCACGTTGTTAAAATCCGGTTCAATAGCAACGTTCAGTGCTCATTATTAAAACTCTTGATATATAGCATTTTGCAATGTTCATCGACTATTACGAAAATATTCACTTTTTACAACGATCAATAAACATTACGAAAAGTGAATATTGCAAAAAAATTAATTTGGCCCTTTCAAAGACCCAATCCAATTCATAAACTGATAAGTGTAGTTTCTACACTTATTCGAGATCCTAAATAATGATATTTTACTATTTTTTGGATAAAATACTACCTAACTTGTGTTATATTTTATTTTGTAGGAAAAACTCAATGTTTGATGAAGAAATGTAGAAAATAATGCAAATATAGTGAAAATGACTCAATTGTATCAAATACAAAGTTTGAGTGCCAAATTATAAATATTCAATAGTTAATTTTGACCACAAGATGATACTTTGAAAATTGTTAGGAGACGATTGGATGCAATTAGAACTCAAAAAGGAATGAAATTTGATCAAAATATTATCAAAATCAATTTTCAATCGCCAAGGTTATATTTCAAATTTTTAGCCGAATATTGAGACCTATTTTTGGTATAGTAAACATCCGAATTAGAAATTTTTATTTCTAAAATGTTATAGCCATTTAAGTTATTTTCCAACACACTTTGAATTGCCTCTATCTGATATTGAGAGAGAAAATTATGACTAAAATACTGACTATTGTGTAGAGACAAAAAAATCCATGCATAAAGGCAACTTTCCTTATTCGATTGAAATTCTTTTGGAAACCAATTTGGACATCATTTTCAATCAATTTTCTACTCCTTCAAATACCTAACAGCAGAATACAGATTGGAGACCTCTTTAGACCTAAATTTCATCATAATCTACATATTTTGGATGCGAAGAACAAGTCTATACATCAGTTCAAGGCGAATCATACAAAGATTTTGAGGATTCATAGCCCGGTTTCAAGATTTGAGCCAAAAAGTGGATTTCTCCTACTTCTTTCATCTTTCTTATTTTCGAGTGATATTTTTCTAATTATTCTTATGTAATTTTATTATAAGAATGATAGGCTAAGTTTTTCATTGTATTTGATGAGTAACGAACCCTATTGTTTGTTTATTTTAATTCAA